AATTCGAAGATGGAACTGTTTCGGAAAAGAAAAGAGGAGAAAAGAGAGAAACGGGGAACGTGCGCGCAGCCTCCTCCGCCAAATATAAACCTCGGCATGGCGGTCTGGGGTAAAGGACTGAAGAGGCAAATATCGCAAAACTTTCGGCTTTCGGCTTCGACCACCACGTATACACGCTCACGTCCGTTATATTTAGAGTACCTTCGAGGTTCGGTCGCGATCGTGACTTTGGCTGGACGCGGGCTAATTGGAACGCTTCAAAATATGCATGTATATTTGTCATTTTCTCCGTCCTCAAGACCAGCAGGGCGAAGTCGTTCGTATGCACGAGTCGTCATCGATCGAAAGCAGCTTGTCTTCTTCCGACGAGATACTCCGACGTCTCGATGGTTCTCGAAACGGAAAAGAGCCTGTCGCCGACGCCGATATAACACATACACACACCGATATATACACAGCAGCTGCCGATATATTATTACTGCTACCACCTGCCGCGACACCATATGCTCGCATTATTAGCACCCACTGCCCGCCTTTATGGTGGCCGTGTAACGGGCGAAACAGTACTTTACAGGTGACTTCAAACAACGTTGCCTGGAGTTCTCGAGGCCGAGAAAAAAAAAAGGAAAAAAAAATAAATGAAGTCAAGTTCCGAAGTAGACTGAAATAAAACCGACGAGATATTAAATTCTAACTTCTAAGGATTCCGAGGAGAGAAAACAAACTCGCGATGTAACGACAATAAAATATTACGAAGCAACTCTTTCGAAGGGAGATAAACGATATTTCTTTTTTTAAACGAATATCCTAAATTACTTCTAAATTTAAAATTAACTTTCAATTAAACCGCATCATTTTTTTTTCCAGATCGTGAATAAGAATAAGAATTGTCAATATTTTAAAAATGTCGCTGATCAAACTGCAGTCGTTCGACCTTTGCGGAATTATAATCCACTCTTTCGCATCCGATTGATCCCTCAAGTTTTTCTTATCGATCCATCCAG